AATGTAAATGTTTCCATTAAAAACTCAATTCTCACTTTCCCAGACAATGTATCTGTGGGAAAATAAATGTTTCTTATCAAGAAGGATAGTGTATTCAACTTAAATCTACCACTTATATTCAACTGGTACAATTTTACTCACCATTCTTTCTCAATTCTAGAATGACGCAAGTAAACAAATATTGGTGGATTCATTACATCATCAACTCTAGAGATAAACCAACCTGATTTTTTATAGAAGTTCTCTCTTTTCTTTGCTCACTCTTATACTTACATATCACTGGCAATGGAGGAGTTCCGGGACATAGACTTTGGAGAGAGGTCATAATCGCTGTCGGATCGATACAGGAAGGACTCCCGACGTTGACTGTGGACAAAATTTGCTTGGAGAATTAGCCCAGATCCTGGGCTAGTCATGGGATCCAAGGGACTCCGTCCCGCAGATGTGCCATTGTCCACATCAAAACTGTAAATGAAAGAGAAGGAATGACATTGCTGTGAACACGAGCATGTTGATATTTTTGTAAAGGGAGATTTCAGTCTAGGAATTGACAGTGGGAAAATTTACAGTGGATTCCTCCTGTTAAAAAATAATGATACTGAAACACAAAAGTAAAAACCTCATGGACTTCATACTTTTGTCTTCCTAAGCTTTGGCAAATTTTTGTTAACTGATCAGATACAAGATACAGGTCTCTCTAAACTCAACTTCAGTTAAAAAGGAACCATTCCGAAAAGAATAGTTCTCCTAAGCACAGAATTCCTTTGAGGAAAAGAACAAATACATAGCAATGCACTAAATATTTGAGTTCCATTCAACAAGTGCTCATTATATGCTTAATATTATTGCTTCCCCAAACCTGGACTTTTCTCCCTCCCGCCTACACTTATCCAATCACTAATTATTGTTGTATCCACTTCAGTTCCTCCCCACTCGCAATATATTACGTCCAGGATTCCATCAACTCTCACCTACATTATTATAACAGCCTTAATATTAGTCTCTCGGATCCATTTTCTACCCTACACCAGGAGTGATTCTTCTTAAAAATATAAATCTATCATTCATCAGTTTAAAACCTTTCAGTGGCTCACTACCATCCTCAGGATAAAGTCCAGATTTCTTGGCTAGACTGACAAAGTCTCAATCCATTCTCAATTACAACTGACCATTTCCCCAGCCTCAATATGCAGCCGTCTTCTATCAGGCACCTCATGCTCCACTCACATTGAACCACCATCTACTTGTCTCAGGCTATCACAACCTAATTTCTGCTCCCCTAATTACTCAATCTTCCTGCTCCCTGTCTAATAGTTATTCATCCTGGAGGACTTAGCCTTCACTTGAAAGGTTGTCCTGATATCCTGGAGCTTTATGAGATGCCTTTCTCTGTACTCTGAAGACATTTTCCCACTCACTATTGGTAGCATTTACAATGAATTAAAAATTCTTACTAATTGGTCTCCATTCCTAGACTGAGCTCTCTGAGACTGGAGGCTCTGAGTGCTCTTAGCACTTCAAAAACCCTTACTAAGTGGTTTGAATGAATGTGTGAATGAATGAAAGGCATTGTGCTCAGCCATACAGATTTTAAAGTTGGGGGGGGGTAAAGAACCACACACGCAGAGTTTTTAACATCACAGACCTTATAATCTAGATAAACTTTCCACAAAGTGCTTTTCTAGTCAAACATCAACCAGTATTAAAATAAAGTTGACTCACATGTGTTCTTATGAGAGGAGGGTGATAGCTCAGGTATGTGGTTAAAAATTGTTGAACGGATAAATAAATGAATTCAAGTTTAGTTTTTATCAACGTTTTCCTCATTAGAACTTTTGTCCAAACTATTAACCAGTTAATTTCAAAACAACATTTTAAAAAATTTTCTCCACTGGAATTGTTAATAAATAGTGTTATGACCCAAAGATTGGAAGCCAAAATGGAAGAATACGCTAGCTTCATGTCATTCCATGAATCACCTAGGAATCTATGACTAAATAAATCAATCCATTTATAATAGTTATTAAAAAA